GAAGGTTTCTCAGTCCATGCACTGCCAGCAAAAGCTTTATGGAGTCACAATCACTTTCTTGCTGTTGTTAGTGCTCACCCAAGGATATTAGTTTCACTGCTTTTTTATTTATTTATTATTTTTAAAATATATTTTATTGTTTTTTTACAGATAGGAATTGAGAGGGATAGAAAGTTAGAAATATCGATGAGAGAGAAACATTATCAGCTGCCTTCTGCACACCTCCCACTGGGCATGTGCCCGCAACCATGGTATGTGCCCGTGACTGGAATTGAACCTGAGACCTTTCAGTCCACAGGCCGATGCTCTATCCACTGAGCCAAACCAGTTTCTGCTCCACTGCTTTTTAAGAGAGAATAGAAAGGAGGAAAGAGGGGGAGAGGGGTTGGGAGAGAAAGAGAGAGAGAAAGAAACATCAATGCGAGAGACACATGGATTGGTTGCCTCCCACCCGTGCCCCAATAGGCCCAAATATGTGCCCTCAACCTAGGATTGAACCTACAGGCTAACACTCTAACCACTGAGCACACCAATCAGGACAAATCACAACTACTTTTATTCCTGGCTGGCAACTCTTTTTTTCCCCTTCTTCTTCTTTTTTTTTTTTTAAATATATTTTATTGATTTTTCACAGAGAAGAAGAGAGAGATAGAGAGCTAGAAACATCGATGAGAGAGAATCATCGATCAGCTGCCTCTTGCACACCCCCTACTGGGGATGTGCCAGCAACCAAGGTACATGCCTTTGTCCGGAATCGAACCCGGGACCTTTCAGTCCGCAGGCCGACGCTGCATCCACTGAGCCAAACCAGTCCCGGCTTTTCCCCTTCTTTTTAAAATTCTTTATTATTGAAAGTATTACATATGTCCCCTTCCCACACCCCCCTCCTCCTCTTCCCCCGTTGTCCTCTCCCAGCCAGCCCCAACCCCCAGCCATGGCCTTTATCTCCCTCTCATTGTCTGTCCACTGATTATGCCTACATACATACAAGTTTCTTGGCTGATCTCTTTTCCCGCTCACCCTGCCCTGCCTTCTCTCTGAGGTTTGAAGGTATGTTCGATGCCTCTATATCGCTGGATCTGTTTTTGTTCATCACTTTACATTGTTTATTATATTCGACAAATGACAAGATCATGTGATACTTATCTTTCTCTGACTGGCTTATTTCCCTTAGCTAGGGGCTTAATCACAAGGAATAACAGCTTGAAATTATTGGAACTGAGAGTCTAAGTCAGTGGTCAACAAATTTATTAGTCAACAGAGAGGCAAGCCGTGACTCTGGAGCCCCAGTTTGCCAACCACTGGCTTAGTATAATGCCCTCCAAGTCTACCCATGCTGTTGCAAATGTTAAGAGTTCTTTCTTTTTTGCAGCAGTGTAGTATTCCATTGTGTAGATATACCCTGTTTCCCCGAAAATAAGACAGTGTCTTATATGAATTTTTGCTCCCAAAGATGCGCTAGGTCTTATTTTCAGAGGATGTCTTATTTTTCTATGAAGAAGAATACGGTACACATTTATTGTTAAATGAAAATAAAGGAAATTTATTACCTGTATACAGTATGGTAGTACGGTAGTTGTCAACACAAACCAGACAAACTGTGAATCCTACAGTATCAAGAATTTACTCATTTATTCAATGACAATCATGTCATCATCTTCTGGAACATCATCATAACAATCCAATTCCTGAATTTCCTGGTGAATTTCTTGTGACTCCATTTCTTTCAGAATCAGTGGACCAAATCTCTCATGTTTAGCCTAGGGGGGGCCTTATTTTCGGGGGATGCCTTACATTTCACTCAGAAGGAAACCTGTAAGTAAGTCTTATTTTTGGAGGATGTATTATTTTCAGGGAAACACGGAACCACTGTTTTTAATCCACTCATCTGCTGATAAGCACTTAGGCTGTTTCCAAATCTTAGCTATGGTAAATTGTGCTACTATGAATATAGGGGTGCATATATCTTTTCTGATTGGTGTTTCTGGTTTTTTGGGATATAGTCCTAGGAGTGGTATCACTGGGTCAAGTAGAAATTCCATTTTTTTATTTTTTCCACAGAAGCTGCACCATTCTGCATTCCCACCAGCAGTGTATGAGAGTTCCCTTTTCTCTGCATACTCACAGGTGGCAACTCTAGACAGCAAGTCTCTACAAAACTGATTTACTGGATTATAATCAGCTTTTTAGCATTTTCAGATTTCTTGAGACCAATCCCTCAATCTTTGTTTCTGAACTGACTTTATAAAACGTAAAGAATGTACTGCCCTCCCCACCCCAGTTAATTCATATAAATTAATTTTACATATGGTTTTGTCAGGCTGGATTATAGTCATCTTTTATTGCTTAAAGCATTTCTCCATTTTTCCTCATTTTTTAACCAGTTGGAGTAAAACAGTTGCACCTTTCATCCATTCAAGTCCTAAGCTTTCTGGATTTCTTCTGTTTCCTCCCATCCCTATTTTTAAATCTGCTGGTTTGTTTCTAAGCCCCTTCCTTTCTAGTGGAACCTTGGCCAAATGAAGCTATAAGAACCAACTCACACAAGTAACATTATTTCCTACCTTCTTCACTTAAAATGGCAAGTGCACAGGCACTGTATCTGCTTCTGTGATCACGAGCAATAGTTTTATACAGAAACTAGAGGCCCAATGCATGAAATTTGTGCACGGGAAAGGGGGTGTGCCCTCAGCCCAACCTGCATCCTCTCCAATCTAGGACATCCCTCTCACAATCCAGGACTGCTGGCTCCTAACCGTTTGCCTGCCTGCCTGCCTTCCAGCCTAATTTCCCCTAACCTCTTCTGCCTGCCAGCCTAATAACCCCCTAATCACTCCCCTGCCAGCCTGATCAACACTTTGCTTCTCTCTTGCCAGGCCAATTGCCCCTAACTGCCCTCCCCTGCTGACCTGGTTGCCCCTAACTGCCCTCCCCTACAGGCCTGGTCACCCCCAATTGCCTTCCCCTGGAAGCCTGGTCCCCTCCAACTGCCCTCTCCTGCTGGCCTGATTGCCCACAACTGCCTTCCCCTGCTGGCCATCTTTTGGCAGCCATCTTTGACCACATGGTGGCTGCCATTTTGTATGTTGGAGTGATGGTCAATTTGCATATTACCTCTTTATTTTATAGGATTTTCCAAGGAACCATATGACATGTGCTCTTCTGAGCCATCATTTGGTTTCCTTGCTGCTCACCACCTGATCTCAAATCAATTCACATGTTTTAATTGTTATAGCTGCACCTCACTTTGAGGTATGAATCTGGTGTTTGCATTTCCCTGGCATGAAGTTGAGCATCTTTTTCTTGGAGCATTTACCATCCACATATCCTCTGTGGAGAAGTGTCTCTTCAAGTCTTTTGTCCATTTTCTTTAACTGTATGTTTACTTTTTCAAGTTTTAAATATTCTTTTTATATTCTAGGTATAAGTTCCATGTCCGATATGGAATTCACAAGTATTTCCTCCTATTATGTAGCTTGTTTTATCTTTTTAACAGTGTCTTTCCCAGAACAAGTTTTCAATCTTGATGAAATTTACTTCTGCAATTTTTTTTTCTCTTGTGGATTGTGTGCTTTGGCCTCATGTCTAAGAATTCTTTGCCCAATTCCAGTTCACAATGATGCTCTCCTACATTTGTTTCTAAAACCACTGAACTTTTATCTTTTATGTTTAGATCTGTGACCTGTTTTAACTTAATTTTTTTTTCTTTTTCCTTTTATTTATTACATTTGGACCTTTAAGAAACATATATCATCAGATATTCCACTATTTAGTAAAAATCTAGTCTAGTTTTTAGGAAGCATATGTGTCACAAACCATCTCGTTTCTACTCGCTAAAACTTAACTAAATTTATCAAAAAGGTAGGCTCTGATCTACAGGATCCTGAGCCTTGAGGTTTTGAATGTTTTGATTATTGTAAAAACAATTTCAAGTGATTAAACTTAATTCCGAGCTGTTTTCTTCTAGACCGGGCCAATCATTTTGAAGTTATATACTCCCTTGCAAGAATATTCAATTCCTTAAGCTTTTGTGATCTACTGTCTTTGGAAAACTTGATAAAAAAGTAATTTTTCCCCCCTGTACAATAAGGATGAATTGACCAGAACGTACCCAATATTAATTATAACAAAAAGCAGGACAGTATACATGTGCCATGTTTGCTTTAATGACTATTTCATAAGCTGGTGACTACTCTATGGAGACTATTTCTTGATCAATACGATCCAAGCATAGATGCAGGTACACTCAACACTTTAACACAACTCTTGGTTACCTGACACTGATTACAAATGAAAAGGGCAAGTGAACAAACATATACTCATACATGATTATGTTTTCAAGAAGCTACCTTTGTGGAAGTACACAGGAAAGGGAACTTTCAGGAAGCTGTTGATGGGACTGAGAAGATTTAAAGCTATGGCTTTGGTAAGCACCCCAGTGAGCTGTAGGAAGGCATTTGTAAGAGTAGATTCTGCAGCATCAAAGGAAAATTCTCCAAAAATGGGTATTTTCTCAATTAATTTGAATTCCGAGGCTTTCAGCAGTGAAGGATAGAAACAAGATCTAAGGAAGAGAACCACCATCACAACAACTTACAAGGTGACTATGGCCCAAGCAGGTTTGGCTCAGTGGATTGAGCGTCAGCCTGTGGACTGAATTGTCTCGGGTTCGATTTTGGTCAAGGGCACGTGCCCAGGTTGTGGGCTCAATCCCCAGTAAAGGGTGTGCAGGAGGCAGCCGATCAATGATTCTCTCTCATCATTGATATTTCTCTCTCTCTCTCCCTTTCCCTTCCTCTCTGAAATCAATACAAATATATTTTAAAAAAGAAAGGTGACCATGCCATTTGGCTCATGATGTCATATGGTCCAAAAGCTTTGGGTGGCGTGATATGGACAAGGAAAACATTAGTACACAAACCACATAACACCATTAAAACTCAGAAACATTTTTTTTTCCATTTAAAAAAGGATTTAGAATACATAAAACAAGGCATCGTTTATTCCTTTTTCTCATCTTCCGGTATGGGATCTGTTGGAGGCTCCTCCACTGTGGCGCTGTTGCTCTCGGAGCCAGTGTTACTGTCACTGGTCCCTTCCTCGGCCATACTGTCCACCCCCTCCTGTCCACTCTCCTTGTCCTCCAGAGTAGATGTGCCTTCTTCACCATTCTGCTGGCTTTCTGTGGTTTCTTCAAGGTGTGTCTCCTCTGTCTCCATCGGAATGTTCTCAGCTTCTTTTTTCTCTTCAGTCTTATCTGCTGCTTGTTCTTCCTCAGGAACGATGCTGCTCTGACTGCGTTCGGCTTGCTCTGCTGCCTCCTTCTCCCTTTCCTCCTGCCTTTTGCGAGCCTGTTCCTCTGCCTGTGCAATTTCAGCTGCAATTTTTTCCATATCCACTTCAATTTTTAAACCACACAACCTCTTAAGTTCATTGTTGAATGAATCTGTGCTTTCCAGGAATTTCCTCTTCTTTTCCTGGTGTCGCTCCTCTATTTGAAGAAGTTCAGCTTCTAGTTTTCGCTGATGAACCATTAAGGACTGGACCTGTCGTTTGAGGACCTGCATTCTAGCTGTTGTGACAACCGACCGAACGTCTGGCACCACACTTTCACTGAGGATCTCACTGATGAGGCGGTGGTTTCTCTGGAAACGGGCGGTGGCTGTATGCTTCATTGAAAAGCCATCATCATAATCATCCAGATCTTCAGCTGGCTGGATGCTCATGTAAGGTTCTCCTTTCTCCATGCGAGACTGCCTCTGTCGACTCTCTTCCTCTAAAGCGGCTTCAGCACGACTTTTTGCATTTATGTAAGCAAGGTATGCGGGGGAATTGTGGTAGGCCTTCATAGATTCATTGTACTCTATCTTTTCTGCTTCGTATTCGTTTAAATATTCTTGTTTTTCTTCATCGGTGAGATCTCGCCACATGCCACCAATGATCTTGCCAATCTCCCACAACTTTAGGTCAGGGTTGGAAGCCTTCACTTGGTCCCAGACCTTCCTGCTGTACCTCATGTAGGGCATCAGCGGCTTATCTGGAGGCTTTGGGGGTTTTGGAATCGTAATGCCAGAGGATGCCGTGACCCGGCTGTTGGTGCCCGGGTTCCCTCCCAGCCTGTAGTTGTTGTAGGCGAGATGACTGTATGGATTGTATCCCACAAACCCTGGTGTGCTGGGCATTTGTGTTGCAGGAGCTGGGGTGGGAGGTGGGGCATAAGATGGTCTTTTTGACATTTTGGAAGATTAAGTTCTCAGTTCCTTAAGAATGAATCTGAGACACCGCGGGCAGAAGAGGCGCCCGCAGCTCCGGCCTCGCTTCCCTTTTCTTAACTTAATTTTTTTTTTATAATATCTGAGATTTGGTCAATCTGGAATAATACTTCAGTCTCTCCTTGTTTTTCAAGACATTGTATTTTTTGAAGAGTACAATCCTGTTGTTTTCAGATTGTTATTTAATTTGATTTGTCTAATCATTTCCTCAATGCTAGAATCAGATTATGTGCTTTTGTCAGGAAAACTACAAAGTGACCTCCCAATGCATTTATCAGAAGGTGTATGATAAACTGACTCATCACTTTGCAACATATATTTGGGTTCCTTTTATATCTTGAAATTATTAATGGGCTCAGATTCAGATAATATCAGATCTTCTTTCCTGATAGAATCTCTTATTTTTATTTATTTATTTTTATTTTTTTTAAATATATTTTATTGATTTTTTTACAGAGAGGAAGGGAGAGAGATACAGAGTAGAGAGTTAGAAACATTGATGAGAGTCATCAATCAGCTGCCTTTTGCACGCCCGCTACTAGGGATGTGCCTGAAACCAAGGTACATGCCCTTGACCGGAATCGAACCCGGGACCTTTCAGTCCTCAGGCCGATGCTCTATCCACTAAGCCAAACCAGTTTCGGCAGAATCTCTTATTTTTAGCCTTTTTCTGAAATCTGCTTATCTCTATTTATACAATACAGAAAATATACACTTGAATGTTTTCTAGACAAATACATATTGAATAGATGAAATAGATATTTATATACTTCCTTATAGAACATTATCCTGAAAATATCATTTTACATAGCATGATAAATAACATTGTATTAAAATTTATTTAATATAATAGTTATCTTTTTCCCTTTATGTTTTTTCTGGATAAAAACAAATAATTTTTATTTGACCCAAATTTATTTCCCTGTCTGTAGTTCTTAGCCCTTGATAGATAAGAGGTCCTCAATAGTAGGTCTATGTGCTGCCTCATTTGCCATGGCACTTTTCATTAAAAATTATATATGAGCATATAAAGTCTCTTAAAAGCATTGTTGAATAGTAGTATCAGATAAATTGCTAAGAGATCAGCCACTATGCCTTTTACACTGAAAAGCAGAAAATTGCTTAGCCTTGCTCTTAGCACAGCATTTGCCTTAACTAAGCATTGGCTCTTTTAGTCACCCTCTCCTCTCCCTATGGGCGAGAAGGTATCATATTGTCCCAACAGCAAAATCCCAAATGTCTGATTTGATACCTGTGTTCTTGTCTTCCAACACTAATCCTGCCTGTGGCCAAGTTAACACAAAAATGGCCAGACGTGGTTTGTGTTACCAGTCCTAAAATTGATTCCAAAGGCACGCTCTAATCCACAGTGATGTGCTGGGTACTTTGTGACACACTGAGCATGAGATGCATGTGGCAGCTAGCTACCCCGGCTCTGCACATGAAGCATCTGTAACTAGAAAGGATCTTTCTTCATGCAAATCATTTGACATGAATGAACATTCTCATTGCACTTCAGGAAAGGCTTTTTAATTAACAAGGTCTAATAATTTTAAAGACTTAGTGAGAAATTGCACTAAAACCAATGGTAGTACTAAGATGATTCGTTACAATGTATTGTTTATTTTCTCAGATGTGATTTCTGATTATAGCACAGGCAGGATCATGATTGAGTTTCTACCTTTATAAATACACCATTTTCATTACAAAATGAGTCTACCTACTGCCTGGTGTTATGCATTCTAACTGGTGGGTAGGAAAAAATAGAGAACTGACATATACTAAAGATTACTAATACAAGAGCTTTCCTATATATTATCTCATCTAATATGTAGATATATTATATATATGTAAATAAGATTAAATAGTTGACACTTTCAACTGTTGTCTTTAGAGACAGCTAAATGATATTAAAGCTTATCCATCATTGTTATTTTGTTCTAAATAATCTCTTTTAGGATAAATATTGCTGATATTTAAATCAACCTAGACATCAAAATTACAATTAAACTACAGAACAGCCATCATTCAGAACCACCTGAAAGCTGACTGCTTTCTTTTTTTTTTTCTTTTTTCTTTTTTAAATATATTTTATTGATTTTTTACAGAGAGGAGGAGAGAGGGATAGAGAGCTAGAAACATCGATGAAAGAGAAACGTCAACCAGCTGCCTCTTGCACACCCCCTACTAGGGATGTGCCCGCAACCAATGTACATGCCCTTGACCGGAATCGAACCCGGGACCTTTCAGTCCACAGACCGACGCTCTACCACTGAGCCAAACCGGTTTTGGCCTGACTGCTTTCTAAATTCGTATCTCTTGTCTAGTGTTTTCATTTGCATCAGCCCCTTCTTCAGATCCTGAACCCTAATCATGATCCTGCCTATGCTAAAATATTGCTGCAATATGTTAGAATGCATAACATCAGGCAGTAGGTAGATTCATTTTGTAATGGAAACAGTATATTGATAAAGATAGAACCTCAATCATGATCCTGCCTATGCTATAATTAGAAATATATATATATCACTATATATTACTATATTTTTGTGTGTGTTATTGTATCCACATTTTTAAACTGAAACTTATCCAAAGATAACAGAGATAACAAGAGAAAGAATTTGGGTTAGACCCAGATTAAAACTTTAAATCTAGTAACTTTTCCACGGTATCACATTATCTCTTTTTTTTATATAACAATTGTAGCTATATGTTATCAATTTAGTGCCCAAAATTAGTATTTTCACTTCTATTTGAGGTTATTTTATCTATTTTCCATGAAAGATACTGTATTTATATGATTCATATAATGCACTTCAGTATCCAGCTAATTTATAAATGGAAACATTTGTAAATAGCTATCCATCTTCTTGTTATACCCGTGTCCGTCTTCCTTGTATGCACAACTTCTGCACGTTGCATAAACAAATGGGGGGAAAGTGGCTTTCCTGATTCTGATAACAACCACCAGTGTCCTGTGATCCCCTAAAATCTATGCGCTAATTTCTTTCCTCTCATCCACTATTGAGCCAGTTCATTAGCTAATCCAATGGGCAACTAAGTTTTGGCAATTCAAAAAAATGTCTAAACACAATGAAAAACTGGAGACATATACCTAATGGTTAATATTAATGCCATTTATGCTTGAACAGAAATGAGTAGCAATTCTTAGCTGAGATTAGCCAATGTCTTTTGATGCAGGGTTGGGGTTGGGAGGGATGTTTGCCCAACTATCTCTTATCTATTTTGTTCATAGTGACATGAGTTGAATGAATCAAATGCATGGTCTGAGGGTCCTCATTTCTTCTTCCCTTTCCACCTGAAAAGCTTGTATTCTATTCCAAAAACAAAGTGCCAGAAATCCCCAAACACTTAATTGTGGGGAGTAATGACTTATCAGAATCAATATTTTAGAATCTGTCCCTAAGGTTTGTTTTCCTACCTATTGTCATCTGAGTAATAACCAAGTAAATGAAATTTTCATTATTTATTCTGTCCTTCAGGGGAACTTATGTGATGTCAGTAAAATCAGATTTGAGTCTGCAAGGCAATAGAGAAATAACTGGGCAATAAGCATACATTTCCAAAGGCATGCACTTCCCCAAAGCCAAGCAGAAATGCATCTCACCAGAGGACTGAGGTCGCCGGATGTTGTGCACTCTATGAAAGGCCTAACATTTTATTGTAAACTGACTCATTGTCCCCATCATTAAAACTCCACAGCTCATACACGAGTGCAATTTAGCTTAGGTTCTTGTTAAGCAGACTTGGAACATTTTAAAAATGAAAACAATTATTCCGAAAGAAATTAGAAATGTGCTTTGGAAATAAAAGGGGTAAAATAAAAACATTGAATCTAATAGCTCCAAGTCCCAGAGTCAATCCAAAAGGAAAGCTGCCAAAAGCTCAAAGAAAAATAAACATTTACCACTTTGCTTCACAGCTCCCCAAACAATGGGGACTCATTAGAAATATTCCATATTTCTGCCAAATGAACACATGTTATTATTGGAGGGCAGATAGCTAAGCCCTCTTCACCCAGATCCACATCAGTAAGAGGAAACAATTCCTTTACTCTTCAAAATTGTGTTAAGATTTTTTGTTAGCAAAAAATCTTAAGAACAAGGATTATCAGAAAGGAAATTGAGATTCTAGACCCTGTGTCCACAACAAGAAAGACAAAGGAGACCCGTGCATCTTGCCTCTCACCTAACCTCGCCCGCTTTTATTTTCAATGTTTAAGGAATTTTTTAAAATATATATTTTATTGATTTTTTTACAGAGAAGAAGAGAGGGATAGAGAGTTAGAAACATCGATGAAAGAGAATCATCGATCAGCTGCCTCCTGCATATCCTCTACTGGGGATGTGCCCACAACCAAGGTACATGCCCTTGACCAGAATCAAACCTGGGACCTTTCAGTCCACAGACTAACACTCTATCCACTGAGTCAAACCGGTTTTGGCATTAAGAAATTTTTATTAAAACAAGAATTTTGTCATCCAAGTTATGTTTCTTTGCTCAGTTATCAATTCTGCTATTTAAAACAGAAGTGATATTATGAGCTACTCTACAGTAAAGACTTACACAATTCAAGAAAGGAATGCTTTCAATTTTTGTACTTTGCTGAAAATTCTTTTTCCTGGAATCTATAAAACATTAATTTTCTTTTATATTTTATTATTTGTTGTGGTTTTTTAAAAAAAAATCAATAAGTAATCTAGGACTAGCGTTATGTTTGCTAGACCTGGCATTTGCTCGGTACTTAAGGTTCAAAGTTTCCTGTCCTTTGAAAATGTATTTTTTATTTTGCAATGCTTTCCCCCCCATTATATTTAAGTTTTCTGATGTTTGGATATTTTCTTCGGTGAAGCAGAGGTTTCTTTCCATGGTCCCTGATCAGTTCCAAACATTTGGGGGCCAGGGCCACTAGTAACTGCTTTCTGGGCAGCGTCTTTAGCTTG